TTGCTTTGCCTTAATTTTGGCTCTCTGATGAAAAAGATTGAATTAATCACACAGCTCAATTCCTAGCACATTATCATCATTAGTCTGAGCAAGTTCCTTCTCTTGTTTTATTTATTCCCTATTAACCTCATTTCCTACTTCCATTTCCTTCCTCTCCTATAGGCCAATATAGGAGAGGAAGGAAATTGCTTGTTTGTGTATATAGTTCTTACAAAACAGGTATCTTCATATGCATGTGTATTTTTGTTTACAAAAAATGTGCATCATATACATCTTAGTCTTGGGCATTACGCTTTAAGTTCAACCATGTTGTAAGGTGCAAATCTGCTCTATTTCTAATCTACTCTTCCAGTGATGGACACTCAGATTATCTTCTGTTAACTGTAACACAAATATTGTTAAATGCAAATCTTTGCATATGTACCCTTGGGACATATTTGACCTGAGACTATTTGAGCTCGGGAAGGAGCTTAAATACTGCCGAATATTCATTCAATGATAATTAATAAGTATTTACTGAATGTTACTATAGTACCAAGCACTATTTTAGTTTCTAGGCATATAGTGGGAAACAAGATAGACAAGTTTCTTGCTCTCAAATAGCTCACTTTCCGGCGTGAAGAAACAGAATAAAGGCCGTTTTTATAGGTAGTAAAAAGTCCTACGCAGAGAATGAAAACACTGTGGTGTACTAGTGTCAGAATGCCGATTTAGATGAGTTAGATGAGGATAAACATTAGAGCTAAGATCTTGAATGACAAGAAAAGGTCAGCTAGGTAAAGAGCTGGGTTAAAAGCCTCCTAGGGAGAGGACATGGCCCTGAGGAGGGAAGAGCCTTGACATGTGGGGAGAGCAGCAAGCAGGTCCAGTGCAGGGATGAGAAGGAGTGCAGTGGAAGAGAAGTGTATTGGTTATCTATTGTTATGTAACAATATTACCACAAATGTAGCAACCTGGCACAGTTTAGCTGGGTCCTCCGCAAAGCTGCAATCAGGGTACTGGCCAAGGAAGGGTTCCCATGGGAGGCTCATCTGTGAATCTGCTTCCAAGCTCAATTAGTTGTTGGCAGAATTCAAATTTTTGCAGGCTCTTGGCTGGAGGGCCTCAACCTTTTGCTGGCTGTTGTCTGGAAGCTGCCCTCAGTTCCTTGCTGTGGGGGCCTTCCCATCATGGCTGCTTGCTTCCTCAATACCAGCATGGGAGAGTTTCCTAGCAAGAGAGGTTACGGTCTTGTGTAAGGTTATCACAGAGGTAATGGCCCATCATCCTAGCTGTATTCTATTCATTAAAAACACGTCCAGGTCCTGCTCACTCAAGGGGAGGGAATTACACAGGCATGGATACCTGAAGGTGGGGATCATGGGAACCACATTAGAGGCTGTCAGCCACAATGAGGAGAGACGGAGGTTGGGGAGGATTTATATCATGAACACCACACCATCTTAAGTACTGTAGTATAAATTTGTTTTTTCCAAGTGAGGTAGAGAATCATTAGGAGACGTGAGCAGGAGATTATATTGTATTTTAAATTCTTAACTATCCCTCTGCTTCAGTGTCTAAGAGAAATTTTAGTGGGGCCAGCAGGGAAGCAATAGTTTGCCCAACTTCACAAACTATCATTGGAAGAGCTAGAATTAGAACTCTGCCTGCCTGGTTCTTAGTCCAGTTCTCTTTCTACTATGCCATTATAGATGCCATGATAGATCCAGTACCTTCTCTCTATATCAACTAACTCTCTACCTCTTACCTTCAAATTTTGCTTTAAACAAATACCCATTGCACAGGCTGCTCTGAAGAAGAGGTATTGTTGCTGCAACTCTAAATAATATTTTTAGAATTGGCAACATTAACAGTGATAGTGTCAGGGAGTGGTAGAAAAAACAATTATCTTAGAGAAAAGATGCCTACTCCAGCATTGGCAATAAGCCAGTCTGCCCCTCTATGTAGTATCTCCTGTGATGCCTCACTGTACACATTTAGAGAAGTCTGGGTAGCCCACCCAATGCAAAGCATGGCAAAAGAGACTATACTGTCTTCTTGATGTGCACTGTCCTGAGACGTGGAGTTTTTGTCTTATGAATCCTTTATGCAGTGCGCTACTTCCTTTCCCTAGGCCGTCCTTTCGTGGGATGTATTCTCCCCTGGCTACTTTTAGAATAGATAATGGCACATGAGTAGAAACTGTTTCTGTAAGAATAATGACCAATTACTGAGTATTATATGACAGGCAATGTGCTAGGTACTTTACATCTATTAGCTCATTTAATCATCAAAACACTCCTGTGAATTATAATCTCATTTCAGAGGAAATAAAACTAAAGCTCTAAGAAGCTGATTTATTAGCTAGTGGTTTTCTCTTTCCTATTAAAAAAACTTTGCCTCAATAGTGAAACATTTAACATTTAAGTGAAGTTCCATTTATTCCCCCACCATGTTATTTTACTTATTAGTTGTTAGGTATTTTGAAAACAAATTATGACGCCTTTAAAAGTGTACATCTTTTAAAATTTCCTCTGAAAATCAACATGTTGTTTTTCCTTCTTCTCCATGGCCCCAAGATAATTTCAGTGCCAACCTACATGAAGAATATGCATGCGCTGAAGATTCCTGCTGAGATTCAGGGAAGTACTCTTATTTTAAAACTAAGTGATGTGCTGTTTTTTTTTTTTTTTTCTGGCACAGACATCTGCTTTAAGGCTTTAATTAATGTTGCATGGTTTTAAAGAGATTAGTTTTCACTAGCCTGAAAAATTTCAACATTATGATGAAGATGAAACAGATGTAGGAATATTCAGATCAAATAACAAGAGGGGGCTCAATTAGCTTTGGAAGGTAAACGTTTCTGACCCCTACTTTTGCCTGATACTAATTACAAACAAAAATAATCCTAGGATGGCAATTCAAATTAGGCAGCTGGGAGGGGATACTGGAGAGAGAAGTAGGGAAGTGCCATAGGAAAGATAAGGGAGCCAGTGAAGGTACAGTATTTACCAGCTACCCTGTGGAAAAACCCTAGGAGGTAATGTAACATACAAACCTGAGAATTAGCCCACTAGAGAGATGATGGAGCTGAAGTCAGGGTTAAATGCTGCTCTTTGTGCCTTTTGTGTGTGGCGGAGGGTTGAGGGTAGTGGTGTTCCTTTTCTGTGCTTCTGACCTTCCTGTAATCCCATAAGATGCCTTGTTCAGTTGGAGATGGGACTCTCAGGCACAGAGATGGGATTCTTAGGCACAGAGACTGCACAGATATTGACAGTCTGAAGTCTCAGAAACAGACTGAGACTTGTGAATCTGAGGAATGTGAGCTGGGCACCAGCGGCAAATGCTGCACATGCTGTGTTAATGATGGGGAGGATAAACAGGTTGCATATGTTGCTGATGGGAGTTTATATGTGGCTACGTCTATAAAAATAAATTTTGAAACACCTATCAAAAGCATAATTGACCAGTAATACTGCTTTGAAGGTTTTCTCCTACAGATATATTCATAAATGTGCAAAGTGATATGTGAATAAGCTTATTAATTGCATCGTTTGTAAGGCAAAAAGTTGGAAATCTCCTTAACATTTTTCGCTAGAGGACTGGTTAAATTATGGTAACTTTATTTTTTTTGTATAAATTTATGAGCTCCAAGTACAATTTTGTTGCATGCATAGATTGACTAGAGATCAAGTCAGGGCTTTCAGGGTATTCATCCCCCGAATAACTTACATTGTGCCCATTAAGTAATTTATGATACATTTAAATGCAATACTATGCTTGTTTGAAAGAATGAGGAAGCTTCTTGTATAACAATATAGGTTGATTGCAAAGATATACTGTTAGAAGAAAAAAGCAAGGTGCAGCAGTGTTTGTATGTGAACATTTGGATAAGAAAATGGTAATGGTGGTGGGAGATTGTATGTATTTGTTATATGTGCATAAAATCTATGGAAGACCCACCAAAGATAGTTACCACTTGTTAACTTGGAGGAAGGGAACTGAGGATAAGAGTGAGGGGATACTTTTCCTTCCATATAGCAACTGTATTCCATCACTTACTTAAAAATAAATGTAAATAATTTACAAAAAACATTTTATCTTGGGAGCAGTTGGGAGCTGCTAAATTTTGTTTTAATTTTTCACCGAATATATGATCAGACATGTGGGAAGGACAGGCAGTTGGGTGGGATGCAGTTTCAGGGAGCCTAAAGGGAGAGAGAATGACTGGATAGAAAAGGAATCAAAATTTAGTTTCCAGGGCCAAAGCACCAATCAGCGAATAGTATTTTCAGCTGTTAACTTGTCAGCCAATGTACTTGAGTAGGTAAGGGACTCAGTCTGAAGGTAAATGGTATCGGGCTCTGCTTTGACTGCATTTTCTTAGATTCTATATGTCTGTTTAGTATCCACTAATCACAGGGCCAAACCATAAGTAAATATGGTAAACCGTATTTACCTCTGTCCTGTAAGTCGGCTTGCTGGGAACTCATGTGCAGACCACTTGATCCAAGGCTGTGGCTCTACACACCTTCTTATCTAACTCACATACAAGCCACTGTTTGCCCTGCCCTAAATCATCACAGGGCCAGATACCAGGCAACTAGATACCACCCCTATAGCCCAATGCCTATTGGAATTATTCAAACTAGCCAATCCTAAACTGTTTCCCCTGCTCTGTCTTGCATTTGCTGCAGAATTCCAATAATAAAGGCTCTGGCCTGTGCCTTCCCCTCACTCCTGCTTCTGCCTCTGACCAAAGCCTGATGCTTCCCATGTGGTCCTGTGTGGTGTGGTTCAGTGTGCCCTTCCTCTTGGGAGATGTAATAAAAATTATCCTTGAATGGTATCATGAATATTATTTGGGGGAAAATTTTGTGTGTGGAAAAAGGCAAAGTGTTTAATACTGTCTTCTAGTCCAGTCTCTTCCCTGGAAATCTGTGTCAGAATCTGTGGCAGGAATCTGAGAATCTGGAATAAACCAAGAAAATAAATGAAGAATAAAAAAGATGGTCTCATCTTGATCACATCTGCAAGACTGTGCTGTCTGTGACTCAGTGACAAAATTAAATACAGGTAAGAGAAGGGTTCCTGAGATGAGAAAGAATAAAAGACCTTTTCAGAGGGGAAATGGGAACAACTGATTTATACTTCCAGGCAGCAAAGACAGTTGAATATGTATAAAACATAATGGTGTGCCCCCCAGAAATCTGCATGAATAGAGACTCCCTTTTTGCCTTTTGCCTTCTAGGCTAGGCTTCCAATGCTCCCTACCAAGAGAGTATACACATTTCCACTTAAGACAAAAACCCAAAGCTCTTAAAAAACAGCTTTATTAGGATGTAATTCACATACCATATTATACCATATATATTAGTTTTATAGGGCTACAAATTCCCACAAACTGGGAGGATTAAAACCACAGAATTGGGCCAGGCGCAGTGGCTCATGCCTATAATCCCAGCACTTTGGGAGGCTGAGGCGGGTGGATCACGAGGTCAAGAGATCGAGCCCATCCTGGTCAACATGGTGAAACCCTGTCTCTACTAAAAATACAAAAATTAGCTGGGCATGGTGGCGCACGCCTGTAGTCCCAGCTACTTGGGAAGCTGAGGCAGGAGAATCACTTAAACCCAGGAGGCAGAGGTTGCGGTGAGCTGAGATCGTGCCATTGTACTCCAGCCTGGGTAGGAAGAGCGAAACCCCATCTCAAAAAAAAAGACAAAACAGAATTTGTCTTACTGAATATTGTTTTATTAAATATTTACAGAATTTTGTTTTATTTTACATTTACAGAATTTACAGAATATTGTTTTATTTTATTAAAAATACTTATTTTCTCACAGTGCTGGAGATTAGACATCCAAAACCAAGATGTCAGCAATGGCATGCTCCTGAAGGCTCTGGGGAAGAATGCTTTCCCTCCTTTCTATATTCTGGTGGTTGTCAGAAGTCCTTGGTGTTCTCTGGCTTATAACTTCATTGCTTCACTGTCTCTGTTATCACATGGCATTCTTCCCTGTGTCTCCTCCGTGTCTTCAAATCTCTCTCCAGTTCTTGGATTTAGGTGCCATCCTAATCCAGTTTGGCCTCATCTTAACTTGAACACATCTGTAAATTTCCCATTTCCAAATAAGGTGACATTCAAGGTACAGAGGGTAGGCCTTTAACATATCTTTTTAGTGGACCCAAATCAACCTATAACACCATACAACTCACCCACTTAAAGTATACAATTTAATGGTTTTTAGTATACTCATAGAATTGTGTGATCATTATATCAGCTTTAGAACATTTTCATCACCCTACAACAAAACCCCGCAGGCATTAGCAGTCACTCTTCATTTTCCCACAACACTCCTCCAAGTCCCAGGCAACCACTTCTCTCTGCTCTGTCCGTATAGATCGCCTATTCTGGACATTTCATATAAATGAAATAATATGGTATGTGGCTTTTTATGTCTGGCTTCTTTCACTTAGTATAATGGTTTTTTTTGTTTTGTTTTTTGGTGGTGATTATTTTTTTTTTGAGATGGAGTCTCACTGTCACCCAAGCTGGAGAGCAGTGGCACAATCCTGGCTCACTGCAACCTCCACTTCCCAGGTTCAAGTGATTATCCTGCCTCAGGCTCTTCCATAGGTGGGATTACAGGCACCCACCAGCATGCCTGGCTAATTTTTGTATTTTAGTATAGATGGGGTTTCACCATGTTGGCCAGGCTGGTCTCTAAGTCCTGACCTCAACTGATCTACCTGCCTTGGCCTCCCAAAGTGCTGGGATTACAGATGTGAGCCACTGTGCCTGGCATTGTTTAGCATAATGTTTCTAATTTCATACATGCTGTATCAGTACTTCATTCCTCTTAATGGCTGAATAATATTCAGTTGTACAGATATACCGTATTTTATTTAAGCATTTATCAGTAGATGGACATTTGGGTTGTTTCTACTTTTTAGTGATTTGAATAATACTGCTATGAAAATTTGTGTTCAAGTTTTTGTGTGGATATGTGTTTTCATTTCTCTTGGGAGTATACCTAGGAATGGAACTGGTAGGTCATATGATAACAGTATATTTAGCTGTTTGAAGAACCACCACATCCTCTGCAGCATCTGTTGTCTCCAGATTTTTTAATGATCGCCATTCTAACTGGTATCTCAATACTAGTTGATTGGCATTTCTCTAATGACCAGTGATGATGAGCATTTTTTCATATGTTTGTTGGCTGCATAAATGTTTTCTTTTGAAAAGTGTCTTTTCATATCCTTTGCCCACTTTTGAATGGGTTTTTTTTTCTTGTAAATCTGTTTTAGTTCTTTGTAGATTCTGGATATTAGCCCTTTGATAGATTACCATTATTAACTTTTTGCTTATATTCTTCTAGACTTATTTCCAATTAAATAACTATATAATGTTTTACAAAAATGGGAAGGTACTAAACATTTTGCAATTCTGCTATTTTGACTTAAAATACAGTAAGCATCTTTTTATTAAAATAAATTTTAACTTTGGATTAGCTTTGAGAGTAAATTAGTTCAACCTTTGTAGAAGACAGTGTGACAATTCCTCAAGGAGCTCGAAATAGAAATCCCATTTGACCCAGCAATCCCATTACTGGGTATATATCCAAAGGATTATAAATTGTTCTATTATAAAGATACATGCACAGGTATGTTCATTGCGGCACTGTTTACAATAGCAAAGACCTGGAACCAACCCAAATGCCCATCAACAATAGACTGGACAAGGAAAATGTGGCACATATACACCATGGAATACTATGCAGCCATAAAAAACAATGAGTTTGTGTCCTTTGTAGGGACATGGATGAATCTGGTAACCATTATTCTCAGCAAACTGACACAAGAACAGAAAATCAAACACCGCATGTTCTCACTCATAGGTGGGTGTTGAACAGTGAGAACACATGGGCACAGGGAGGGACAAATCACACACTGGGGTCTTTGGGGGGTATAAGGGAGGGACAGTGGTGGGGGTAGGGAGGTTGGGGAGGGACAACATGGGGAGAAATGACAGATATAGGTGACGGGGGATGGAAACAGCAAACCACAGGGCCATGTATGTATCTATGTGACAATCCTGCATGTTCTACACATGTACCCCAGAACCTAAAGTGAAATAAAATATATATATTTTAAAAAATAATGGTAATCAATGGAGGGGGCAATTTTCATGTTTTTGGGAAAATACTTTTTTCAGTTTTATATAAAAAATAAAAATGTTATAAAAACAAAGAGGAAAACATCTTTCAGCCTTTTCCATGGATATTTAAAATGAAATATTTTATAAAATCACCATCTTAATAAATGTTTTATAGCATGCTTTTGTCCCACTCTTTTTTCACTTCATATAATATCATGTCATTGAATATTCTTTGAAAAGATGATTTGTATTACCTGAATTAAAATTCATGGCTTAGAGTCATATTATTTAGCCATTTCTCTGTTTTTGAATGTCTAGGTTGTTGTTTACAATTTCCCACCACTTAAAAAAATGTGGCGCCTAGCATTTTCATAAATAAATGATTGTTTGCATCTCTGATTATTTTGATAGGGGAGATACTAAAATAAAGGCTACTTGATCAAAAGATGTGATTATTTTAAAATGTCTTCCTGAGTGAATTCTGTTGAAGACACTGTAACACTCAATTACTTATTCTTTTTGGTTTCGATTCTTCAAGTGTAATTGTCTATTTCTGTACGTTATTTACTCCATGGAAGTAGCAAGGGAAACGGATGAAGGAGCCTGGAGTGCACGTTGCACTAGAGGACAGGAGACCTAGATTTTTTAGGTCCTTGGAAAACTCACAAATGTCCAGAAGCTTTATATATCTTATCTTTCAAATAAAAGGGGTGGGATTCCTTAGCCATAAATTCCACAGTTCTCTAGTTCTCCTCAGCTACTAGGAGAAATGCTGGGCTTCGTATTATGGCAAAAGAAGCAAATACAGATTTCTCAGTGGAGGAAACGTTTTCATGGCCTATTCTCCAGACACATGCTTTTACAGAAATGAAATCCTTACCAATGCTGTTAATAAGTAATATTGCATCTGTTTTTTTTTGTTGTTGTTTTGTTTTGTTTTTGAGATGGCATCTTGCTCTGTTGCTCAGACTGGAGTGCAGTGGCCTGATCTCTGGTCACTGAAACCTCCACCTCCCAGAGTTCCAGGCAATTCTCCTGCCTCAGCTCCTGAGTAGCTGGAATTACATGTGGCTAATTTTTGTATTTTTTTTTTTTTTCGAGACGGAGTTTCGCTCTTGTTGCCCAGGCTGGAGTGCAATGGCGTGATCTCGGCTCACCGCAACCTCTGCCTCCTGGGTTCAGGCAATTCTCCTGCCTCAGCCTCCTGAGTAGCTGGGATTACAGGCATGCGCCACCATGCCCAGCTAATTTTTTGTATTTTTAGTAGAGACGGGGTTTCACCATGTTGACCAGGATGGTCTCGATCTCTTGACCTTGTGATCCACCGGCCTCGGCCTCCCAAAATGCTGGGATTACAGGTGTGAGCCACCGCGCCCGGCCTAATTTTTGTATTTTTAGTAGAGATGCAGTTTCTCCAGGTTGGCCAGGCTGGTCTTGAACTCCTAACCTCATGATCCACCCACCTTGGCCTCCCAAAGTGCTAGGATTACAGACGTGAGCCACCACACCCAGCCACGTCTGTTTTATTATCAGCTGTTTTACAGCTGAAAAAACTGAAGCCCAGAGAATTTTAGTAGCTTGCTCAAGATCATTCAGCTAGGAAAGGGCAGGAAGAAGAATCCAATCCATGTGTGTCTGGCTCCAAAGCCCATGCTGTTCACACTTTAACAATACTTCAAAGTTGGACAGAAATAATATTTTTATGGGCTTGATATTATGGATTTAATGACACACATTCACAAGTTCTACACTGATTATTCCTCCTCTAAAGAACTTTTATTTCAAAGGGACTTAATGGTATAGCACTATTAATGCATTAATTTCAATATCAGAAAAACAGTATCAACAAAACCAATAGGAATGTATAATTATGATTTTATGAAAAAATAAGCCTACCAAAATATTAACCTTACAAACTAGATATTTCTCTAAAAATAAACTATTATGGCAAGTTTTTTTCCTACCTGAGATCTGTATTTCTCAGTTCTTTGCTTCCTTTTTTTTAAACAATATTTTATTTTTTTATTGTACTTTAGTTCTTTACTTTCATATAAAGTTTCTCTTCTCAAATATTTGAATAGACACCCTATGAATTAGCAAGTATGTGAAAGTACCATATATATATATATATTTTTTTTTTTTTTTTTGAGATAAAATTTCGTTCTTATCATCCAGGCTGGAGTGCAGTGGCACAATCTTGGTTCCCTGGAAACTTCACCTCCTAGGTTCAAGTGATTCTGTCTCCGCTTCTGAGTAGCTGGGATTACAGGGGCATACCACCATGCCTGGATGATTTTTGCATTTTTAGTAGAGACAGGGTTTTGCCATATTGGCCAGGCTGGTCTTGAGCTCCTGACCTCGGGTGATCTGCCCACTTTGGCCTCCCAAATTGCTTGGATTACAGGCATAAGCCACCATGCCCAGCAAAAAGTACTATATTTTTAACAACCTAATGTTACTGTTTCCTGTGTTTTTCTTTCTTAGCCTTCTTGCTTTTTTTCTTGATGACTTTCTCTCTCTCTCCCCCCACCCCCGCTTTCTCTCTCTCAGTGACAATTCTATCACCCAAAACAAAATGTCTAAGATAATTTCTCTTATCTCTCCTCATACGCAACCAGGTTTCACACACTTTGGTGGATTTATCTTCCCAGTTTCAACAATATGAAGCTATATCAGTTTTAAGTGACTACAGCATAATCATCTCCGCAGCTATTGAACATTTGTCAGATAGTGCATATTTAAGACCTTCACATTTTCGAAGGATATAAAGTCTGGCTGTTTTTGTAGAAATCAAACCATTCATTATACAAGTCTTTAGTATTTTCGTCTTTTAATTTTTTTGATTTGGTTGTTTTTGTCATTTACACCTATAGCTTTTACTGAATTCCAACTCACCTCCATGAAGGCAGAAGCTACATTGTCTGAGTCACCATTATAGCCTCATCACCTACTACATAGCAAGTGCTCAGTAAATATTTGTTGAGTGAATGAATGTATTATTATATCACTGATTTGAAGCAACACTTTTTTTTTTTGAGATGGAGTTTTGCTGTTGTTACCCAGACTGGAGTGCAATAGCACGATCTTGGCTCACCGCAACCTCTGCCTTCTGGGTTCAAGCAATTCTCCTGCCTCAGCCTCCCGAATAGCTGGTACTACAGGTGCGCACCACCATGCCCAGCTAATTTTTGTATTTTTAGTAGAGACGGGGTTTCGTCTTGTTGACCAGGATGGTCTCGATCTCTCGTGATCCACCCGCCTTGGCTCCCAAAGTGCTGGGATTATAGGCGTGAGCCACCGCGCCCAGCCTGAAGCAACACTTTTTTATCATATTTCAAATATAGTTATTCCTTGCTAAGCTTGGAGGTGGCATTCCACAAATACTGCCTCACAGTTGGCAAGACAAGTCACGGTGTTATAGAAAATAGGGAGTAGGAGACGGTAAAATAAACCAAACTCCTGACAAAAGTTTTGGAAACATGCGCTTTCAAAGTAAGCCAGACTTAATGGTTTTAAAGAGTTCCTCTAGCAGAAAAGCTTCTATCTGAATCATCTTTTTAACTTGTTCAGAACACATTGCTTCAACGGTATCTACTGTGATATGTTCTCTTATAAATGTCACACTATACTTACACAGACTGTACCTTACTGGACTTGAAATTTAATTATTTTTGCATTTGCATTCTTTTGTGATCCATTTTTATAATCCATGAGAAGTAAATCTGTATAGAGTTATTCATTTAGGAAAATATCCTTTTTTTTTAGTAGAAAATTCAAAATTTATGGCCAAATCTATATGATCCAAGGGCTCCTTTTTGCCTGATGAATTAGAAGGCAGATATTTCATGATTAATATGACTGAAAATACCATTTTTAGGTTCATCATTAGCTTGGGCTACAACTTAGTCTGTGTTGTAACTTTGTGTCAACTCAATTGATTCAACAGTGTGTCCTTCACATTTTTTATTATGGCCACTTTTTTTGTGTGTCATCAAGGGTGAAGGCATAACCTTCCTCTCCTCATGTTCAGCATCTTCTGTTCTTTCTCTGGTTATAAATAATGAAAAAAGGGACAATTTAGTATTTCTCTGATCCTTAAGAACACATAAGGGATTCTGAGATTCAAAGTTAAAATGCAGCATTAAGATATATTATGTCACCAGGGACCGAAAAGAACACAGATAATAGATGGCAAAAAATGTATCAACTAATGTTAAAATTAATTTTGTGTGAAGTTGACCAAAGCTTTTAAAACTATACCTTTGCCTCCTTGATTATTCTTCTGAATTTTCTCTGTTCTCTTGCTAGTCTCAATATTTTTTATCAGAGCGTCAGGGGCAGACAGGACCTAAACAACTCTACCTGGTGTAATAATTAAACACATGTTGGGGCAAGGTATTGCTCAGTATGTTTGTGTCTGTGTTTCTCATTTGGTATCGGAAACATCTTCCTTAACTTTTATGTATTTCCAGACTTTTCTCTTAATTTTATGCAACTTTAAAAAGATTTTTAACAGCTTTCTCTGCATGCCAGTCAATTAATGTGTTTCACATGAACAAATAATACAGCTTGAATAAACCCAATCCTACTATTGCAGGTTGCAAAGTCACCCACCTACTCCGTTTTCATGGCGATGCTGATTTTGGGCATTCAGCTCTTACAGGTTGAGTCCCCTGTGAGGAAACGGTGAGGTTTTTCCCCCATCCTACTATGAAAGACTCCATATGAGAGGCAAAGGCGCCCCTGCGATTTTCAGGACTGCCCAGTGAGGCTACGACAGCCTCAAGCTCGGCTTCTCTGGCAGTTCCGCGAAGGGCGCGCTGTCCATCTGGAGCGATTTGAGTCACCTGTTCAAGGTCGCGAACCCACCGGTGCCGCCCACAATCAGGCAGGTCCAGTGGGGCTTGGCGGTTTCCGGCCTGCCTGCGCTCGGCGTCGCCTCGGCCTCACCAGGTGTCCGGCAATCTGCGCAATGGCGAGGATGCCGCGCCCTCTCCCGACCTACCGCCAGCCCAAACTGGGCCTGGAACTAACGCCCCACGAGCACCGGCGGCCGGGAACCGGCACCGGAAAAAGGCGGTGCCGGGACGGCCGGGGGCGGGGCGGGCCGCGGGGCGCGGCCTACAAAAGCCACGCGCGGCGCAGAGGGCGGGCCTGGGGGCGAGCGGTTGAGTCGACGGAGCGTCTGGCGCCACTGAGGCCGCGGGCGAGAACCGGGAGGGGAGAGGGAGGAGGCAGGAGGAGGAGACGCGAGTGCGGGGTGGCGCCGGTCCACCTCCGCAGCGCTCCTGCCTCCCGCCGTCTTTGGAAGGCGGGCCCAGGCTGCGGCAGCGGCGGCCTCGGCTGCCGGGGGAGGTGAAGTCGGGCTGCGGCGGCCTCGGTCGGCGCGGCGGAGGGAGGCGGCCGACCTGGCGAGGGTGGGCAGGTCTGGGTGGCCGGCGCCGCGGAGAGGTGGAGGGGCGGCTTGGCATCCCGGGGCGGGGCGGGGCTCCCGGGGGCCGCGGCCGGTGCTTTTTCCTCCGGGTCAGCCTCCGCAGGGTCTTTGCAGAAGCCGCCTCCGCGGCCCCGGGGCGGCTGTTGGAAGGGCGGGGGTCGGTGCCTGCGGGGCTCTGCGTGGCCACTCGGGAGAGGTTCTCTTTGCGCAGGCTCTCCCGGAGACTTGAGGCGGGGCGCGCTGGCATGCATGGGGCCTGTTCTGTCCTTGCTTTGGGGATGCTCCTAAGGGATACCTTGGGTGCCTGGAGTCTAGGGATGGATACCTACGTGCGCAAGGGCTGCTGATTAGGGCAGGGAAGGGCTCGCTAGAATGAGCTCTTAAACTAGTTGGGTGTAAGCGTTTATGGGTTGGTCTAAACCAAACCGAGAATCAACGGGGTTGTCTGCGGGTTGAGAGAGTACCTGGCTGCAAATATCCAGTAGTGATGGATTGCCTTGTAGGCCCCAGAGCAATCAGGGAAGTTAGTATTCTTGTTCAAGAAGCTGCTGGTTCACTTAGCGCTATAAGAATGGTGTGAGTTTGGGATTTTCTTTCAAACGTTCAGGGTTGAGGTTGGAGCTGGTGGTGAGGGATCATGTAAAGAGGTTTGAGTGGCTGCCTTAGGTCCTGGGGTGGAAAGCTTATTTTGGTGTCATCACGTGTCTATGGGAATTACTCAGAATGTGGTGTACCCTCATGAGAAGAGCTCTGAAGCCATTGCTGTTCTTCCTCCCTATGTGGAAAATCGAATTTCTGGAAACATCCTCTATGTTGGAGATTTTGCATATGTAAAGGCTATCCTTATTGGCTAGTGGCAAAAATTACTTTAAAAGTAGGATGGAAGTACATTAGTATCTGAAGCGTTATTGGGTTTTGAGCTCACTTCTGTGGAAAAGAATTTTAAGGCAGTGGTCTAGACTTTCCAGGGAAGTTACTGCTTGGCTGTGTCCCTCTAGTCCTAATTTTATACTTAACTTTCCCCACCTCCTTCAGCTTCATCTGTTTCAATGGTGCAACTCTCTTCATCTCCTTTTGGTTACCAGTCACCTTCAGGCCATTCAGAGGAGGAAAGAGAGGAGAATATGAAGTCGGCCAAGCCCCAAGTGAACCACAGTCAGCATGGGGAAAGCCAACGGGCCTTGAGCCCCCTGCAGTCTGCTCTAAGTTCTGCTGCATCTCCTTCCCAAGCATATGAGACCTATATTGAAAATGGACTCATATGCCTTAAACACAAAATTAGAAACATCGAGAAAAAGAAGGTAACTTTTTTTTTCTTCCAGCCCTGTATATGCGCGTGACTTAAACAAAGATTAAGGAGCTGACATTTTTCTTTCAGAGCTCATAGATGTTTTTTTACTAAAGATTTGACCTTAGGATTTAACTGTCTTAAACAAGAAGGCTATATGTTGGAAGTATTAAACGTTTTCTGTTTCATTTGTCAAAACAACTGAGTAAAAATATTCTTCATAGTAAAATTATTCTGCATGCTACTGTTGAAATAATTTAAGAGCTAGCTATTTTAGGTCAGATTAATTCCTTATGTAGTATGTTTCTTTTCATAGATGTGTTAATAGCTGATTTTTTAGCTTGTTTTCCTTGTGACTTTCTGCAGCAGTTGATACTGCAGTATAACTGCTGCAGTCGTTGGAAGGTTTAACCATGGTAGAACTAGAAAGTGTTTTACCACTTACTTTTGTGTAGTTAGGTGAGGATTAAGATTGCTAGGTGAAAGCATTGTAGTCAGCCTTATAAAGAGACCCAGGAGTTACAATCAGCCTAGCTACAGTAAATGCTGATGTAAAGATCTCAATCTTTCCTCATTTCCTGAGTCATGTAGCTTGTGAAATAGACTGCACGTTGCTTTGTTGTGTTATGATTCTCTTCTGCTTTTGGACAGGTGAGGTTGAGTGACTGTCTGGACCTATGTATTCTAAATGCTTTTTGTGCCAAGACCTAGTTAAACCTTAAAGCTGCTTTTAATGGAGGGGTGAGAACAGACTCTTTAGAGTTTGGTTAACTGTTTCTTTTCTTTTTTTTCTTTTTTAAAGCTAAGAAAGCGGTAAAGAAGGGCAAGTTGCTAGTAGCTTCCCTGTAGCTCTCCCCATTTATCTTTTTAAGGCATGCAGTTGATCACAAATGTGATAAGGTGCGCGTGCCAGGTCAGCACAAATTCCCCGTCACATGGATAAATGATCAAAGCAGGATCTATTGAGGAAGCCTCCCTCAGGTGGAGGAACTACCTATATGTATACTTATGCTCTCTAGCTTACCTATAGTACCTCTTTAATTTTGAATACCTATCTGATAGTACCAGTACTTTTGTTTCAACCTTCTGGGGAAGAATTTTGAGACTAAAGCCAATACAGGAGGGGCCTAAAAAATGCTTTTAGAATACCATAGTGGGGCCGGGTGCGGCAGCTTATGCCTGTAATCCCTGCATCTTGGGAGGCAGAGGTGGGTTGAATCACCTGAGGTCAGGAGTTCAAGACCAGCCTGGCCAACATGATGAAACCCTGTCTCTACTAAAATTACAAGAAAAAAATTAGCCCAGGCATGGTAGCGGACACCTGTAATTCCACCTACTCAGGAGGCTCAGGCAGGAGAATCACTTGAACCGGGGAGGCACAGGTTGCAGTGAGCTGAGAATGTGCCACTGCACTCCAACCTGGGCAACAGAGTGAGAGACTGTCTCGAAGAAAAAAAAAAAAAAAACATCAAGAATGTCATAGTGGGTTTATGTCATTATGGGGCCAATAAATGCAATTTGTTTTTCATAATTTCCTCAAGTATAAAATATAATATGAAAAATAACTTCAAGATGAGCCTACTCTAATGATAGAAAAGAATTCATGTTTCTGTACTTCCAATAGGAGTTTCCTCTTGGGAAAATGCCGCATAATTCAACGGATAACTGAACTAATAGTTTAAGCATGAGACTAGAGTAGGACTTCTCAGCCTCTACACCACTGACATTCTGTACTGGATAATTCTTTGTTGTAAAGAGCTGTCCTGTGCATTCTAAGATGTTTAGCAGCATCCCTGGCCTCTAATCACAAGAATACCTCTCTTCCCCCTCCCAAGTTGTGATAACCAAAAATGTCCCCAGACACAGCCATGTATCTTTGGGGGACAAAATTGCCCTTGTTGAGAAGCTAATGTGTTGAGGACTTGTGATTTATTGTGATTTATTTACTAGGTAAGTCCAGAAGGGTTAAGTAGTGTAGTTTGTATTAATAGAGTCCATTAAGAGAAAATAGTTTTATTACTATTTAACTTTTGTGATTCCAGACTCGTGATTTTGTGTATTTTTTACTCCCTTGACTGGAACTCATCTACAGTTGCTGCATGCCTTATAGTAAAGTGATAGTCTTGCAGATTGATAGCTTACTTCAAGGACTTTGTTTTCCTAGAGACAAGGTCTGGCATTTAGTTTATTTGCTTCTGAATTTTATATTGGACTATAGTAGATACAAGTTTCTCTTTTGTAGCTCAAACTGGAAGATTATAAGGATCGCCTGAAAAGTGGAGAGCAACTTAATCCAGACCAGTTGGTAAGTGGCTTATGATGTCTTGGTCAGACTAACTGGTTTTCTTTTCTTAATAAAACTCTACATGGACTTAGTGAGACCAGAGACTTGATAGTGCGCGCACGCGCACACACACACACACGCACACGCACATGCATGCACACAAAGGTAAAATCTGTTTCAAAAGCTTTTGTTGTCTGTACCTGTTAGATCTCGGATTTGACTTTTTTTCTGTTGACTAGAAGATGGCATGGATGGGGGTGTAGATTGTTAAACAGAAGTGAAAGTGTAGACTGTCACTAAGAGTGAACATATAGATTTAATTAAACTTATGCAAGATGAACTGAAGGAGAAGGGCATACTCTAACTTTCAGCAATTCACTGGTATATTCTAAACTTTTGACAACTTTCTGCTCTAAAACGTGAAAGAATATTTGCTGTAGCTTACCTCAGTTTTCTCTGGCTGCGTCACTTTAATTTCTGTCATAGTGTCTTCCTAGTTTTCTGTACTGGATTGTCATGTCCCCTCCCAGGAGGCATGTTATCTGATAGATATCCAGTCTTAAAAAAACTTACTATACACATTAGGCTACTTGTATTTTTTCCATTGGTTAACTTGCCAATGTTATACCTTGTAATTGGAAATTTTATGTAATTTGTGAAGGAGAGTTTTTGCAATATGGAGAGAAAACAGTGCTTTGTGGATGTTTACCATTTTGTCTTGATCATGTCTCCTGGCTAAGAAGGGACACATTTATTTGAAAATTATTTTATGTTGTTTGTGGGTCTGGTGTCTTTCTGTTTTTCAACTAAAATTTTTGGTTATACATCATAGATACTGGCATTCAAGAGGACTTTTCCATTCCATAGTGATTCTTCTTCACTGACCCAGAATTTTTGTGATGTAGTAAGTTATAATTTTGCTGAGGCACAGAGTTGAATTGTGTGAGCTCTGTGAATGGTGTGCTCACTTAGCTGGGGAGAGGACTTAGCTGGACGTGTAGCATTTCAACATGGCTTTGTTTTAAAGTCATGGTGTGTTCAATAACTCTTAAAATGATAAAACTTTTTGTGTGTGCAAATATTGTTGAATAAAGTGCCCTGTTAGAGTTGTGCTCTTTATTGTTGAGAAACATTGGGAGAAGGAGGTTGGAGATTGATAGTTCCAATGGTAGCTCTCTAAGAAATGGTAAGGACATGCTTTATTCATTGTCCCAGCCAGGCAAACTTCATTCTCAATATTTCATTACTGTCTTTATAACCACATGTTGCTTCTATAATAAATGTATGGACTTTGATATCTGGCTTAATATGGTGACAACTACCCAGTTTATATTGCCAACAGATCAGTCCTCTGAATTCAATATTTCTTTGTCCAGGTGCCTGTTTGACACTTTCTAATTTTTCCCTGTTCCCCAAAACCTGCTCCTCTTCTAATCTTAGATGTGTCAGTTGATGGCTTAATCAACTAGAAGAAGTTGCCAAAAATCTTGGAGAATTTATTTCCTTTCTCCTCATACCTCACATCCAGCTCATCAGCAAGTCTTCTCTGTTCTCCCTTTAAGGTAGATCAGGAAACTGACCATTTCTGCCATCTTCATCCAGGCTGTGTCATCTTTCATTTGCATTATTTATTATAGTAGTAATTACTCCATCCTCACAGGTTTTTCTATTTCTGCCCTTTCCAAGTCTGTTCTCAATGTAGTGACTTCAGTGATCCTGTTCTGATGCAAGTCAGGTGGCTATTCCTCTACTCAGAAGTCCCGATTAGTTCCCATCTTGTGGTAAAGTGTCCTTACTGTGTCTACAGAGCCCTACAGAATATCCTCCCTACTTCTTTTGACATCTTTACTCCATTTCCTGCTCTTCTTTCCCTCGCAAGCTCCATTCTTCCTACCTTGATGTTGCTGCTTCCTCAAACATCTCAGGCATGCTTCTTCTGCCAGGGTTTTTTGCACGTGATGTTTCTACTGGTCAGGATGGTCTTTCTCCAGATGTTTAAATGGCTCAATTCCCAACCTCCTTCAGCATGTTACTTGAAGGTACGTTCTCACCTTACTATACCCCTGCTTCCCCATTCACACTGCTTAGCTCCTTTCCTTGCTTAATTTTTCTTAATAGAAGTTAGCACTTCTTTGACAAGGTATGAAATTTTGTCTCTTTCCCACCCTTACAATGTAAGTTCCATGAAAGTAGGATTTTGTCTGTTCATTGCTGTATTTCTAGTGCATAGAATAGAGTATAGCATGTAGTAGCTTTATAAAAATATTTATTACATACAGATTTACTAAGTATAAAATGAATGTAAGGTCTTTAGGTGTAACTAAGCATGTAGTTTGTGGTACTTTTGAGAAATCACACCTCATACAAGCAATATATAAGGTCGAAGATTTAGAACATGTAGGTAAGTCAGAAGAAAAAAAATAGCTATACCTCAGAGATATTGTGGGTACTGTTTCAGACCACCATGATAAAGTGAATATTGCAGTAAAACAAGTCACACAAATTTTTTGGTTTCCCAGTGCATATAAAAGCCATGTTTGTCCTGTACTGTAGTCCTGTATTATAAGTGTGCAGTAGCACTGTCAAAAAGAAGGTACATACCTTGATTAAAAATTACTTTATTGCTCTAAAGTGCTAATGATCATCTGAGCCTTTACTGAGTTGTAATCTTTTTGCTGGTTGAGAAGGATCTTGCCTCAGTGTTGATTGCTGCTGATGGATCAGGATGGTGGTTGCTGAAGGTTTGAGTAGTTGTGGCAATTTCTTAAAAATAACACAACAGTAAAATCAGCCTCATCAATGAACTCTTTATTTCATGAAAGATGACTCTGTAATATGTGATGCTGTTAGATAGGATTTTACCCACAGTAGGACTTTTTTCAAAATTGGAGTCAGTCTTTCAAACCCTGCTGCTGCTCTATCAACTATAAGTTTATGTGAAATTCTAAAGGCTTTGTTATCATTTCAACAATATTTATAATATCATTACCAGTAGATTCTATCAAGAAACCACTTTCTTTGCTCATTCATAAGAAGTAGCTCCTTGTCTGTTAATGGTTTATCCTGAGATTGCAGTAATTTAGTCATATCTTCAGGCTCTACTTCTAGTTCTCTTGCTGTTTCCACCACATCTGCAGTTATTTTCTCCACTGAAGTTCTGAACCCCCTCAGAGTCATTCATGAGTGTTAGTCAGTTTTTTCCAAACTCCTCTTCATGCTGACATTTTGACATCCTCCCATGAATTGCAAATGTTCTTAATGACATCTAGAACGTGAGGAATCATTTCCAGAAACTTTTCAATTTACTTTGTCCAGATCTATTAGACGAATTACTACCTATGGCAGCTATAGCCTTATCAAAATGTATTTCTTAAATAAGACATGAAAGTAAAAATGACTCATTGATCCATGGGCTGCAGAATGTATGTTATGTTATCAGGCATGAAAACAACATTGCTTTCTTTGTATATCTCCATCACAGCTCTTGGATGACAAGGTGCATTGTCATTGAGCAGTAATATTTTTAAAGGAATCTTTTTTCCTGAGCTATAGGTCTTAACAATGGGCTTAAAATATTAGTAAACACTGCTATAAAAAGGCATGCTATCATCCAGGAATTATGCTAAATCCACTGTGTTTGTTATTTTGTTTATAAACACAGTGGATTTAGCATAATTCTTAAGAGTCCTGGGATTTTCAGAATTGTAAATGAGTATTGGCCTTAACTTAAAGTCTTAAGTGGCATTAGACCCTAACAAGAGAGTCAACATATCTTATGAAGCTTTGAAGCTGAATTGACTGATCATCTCTAGTTATGAAAGTCCTAGATGGCACCTTCTTCCAATAGAAGACTTTTTCGTCTGCATCTGTTGTTTAGTGTAGCCGGCTTCATCAATTATCTTAGCTAGATCTTCTGGCTAACTTGGTGCAGCTTCTACATCAGCACTTGTTGCTACATCTTGTACTTTTATGTTATGGAAATGGCTTCTTTCCTTAAACCTCATGAACCAGCTTCTGCTAGCTTCCAACCTTTCTTCTACAGCTTCTTCCTCCCTCTCTCAGCCTTCACAAAATAGAGTTAGGGTCTAGGTTGTTGTTGTTGTTGTTGTTTTGAGGTTGAGTCTCGCTCTGTCACCCGGGCTGGAGTGCAGTGGTGTGATCTTGACTCACTGCAACCTCTGCCTCCCAGGTTCAGGCAATTCTCCTGCCTTAGCCTCCTGCCTTAGCTGGGATTACAGGCACACATCACTTTGCCTGGCTAATTTTTTTGTATTTTAGTAGAGATGAGGTTTCACCGTGTTGCCTAGGCTGGTTGCCAACTCCTGAGCTCAGGCAGTCTGCCCGTCTTGGCCTCCCAAAGTGCTGGAATTACAGGCGTGAGCCACCATACTGGGCCTGCATTAGGTTTTGACTTAAGGGAATGTTGTGGCTTGTTTGATCTTTTATCCAGACAACTCAAATCTTATGCACATCAGCAATAGGATTTGTTTTTTTCCTTATTCATGCATTCACTGGAGTAGTACTTCCACCCCACACAAGCTCAGCCTCTTTCACTGCTAACATCTCTCATCAGAGAAATTCATTTTTTACTTTTTTTTTTGATGGAGTCTCACTCTGACACCCAGGCTGGAGTGCAGTGGCACAGTGACTCACTGCAACCTCTGCTTCCTGGGTTCAAGTGATTCTCTTGCCTCAGCCTCCTGAGTAGGTGAGATTACAGGCACGTGGCACCATGCCTGGCTAATTTTTGTATTGTTTTAGTAGAGATGGGGTTTCACCAGGTTGGTCAGGCTGGTCTCAAACTCCTGACCTCATGATCCACCTGCTTTGGCCTCCCAAGCTCTGGGATTATAGGTGTGAGCCACTGCACCTGACCACATTTTTTTTAACTTTCTATGACCCTACATTGACACATCATCATCACCCAAAGTTCCTAGAGTTTATGTTAGCATTCACTCTTAGGGCTGTACATTCTATGGTTTTTGTTGGTGTGTGTGTGTTTGTTTTCAAAAGATAGGGTC